GTACATAAGAAGGACCCATCATTTAAAATTAAAATATAATGATTCCAACTTGAAACCATAGGTCTAATGATCCATAAAGAAGTAATAGATTGTTGTTCAACACATTCCAATAGTGTTTTCAAGTTAATTTGCGGTTTTTTATACATTTCTTCAAGATAACCTTCGGTTGTATTATCAATATCACCCTGTAACTAAATATACGATTACAAATCAGTTTATAATATACTTAATTATAAAAGTAAATAAAAAGTTATTACTCACATTAATATATTCTTCAAGGTTGCCATTAAATTGTTGAGCTGTATATAAAAAACTTTCAGAAATTTGATCACGAACTCTATTATGCATATTAGGCAACAAATAACTCTGAATTTCTTCATCAATTGATTTATATATTGTATTATAAACTGTTGGCAATGAAATATTTGGTTGTTTTTGCAATTGCTGATTAATTAACACACTTTCTGCTTCCAAATCACACCGACCCATCAGAACATTAAATAATTGACAAAGCCCAGTACTACGATTTGTATCAGATGCAATAATAGAATTCATCGCTTCTACTCTTGAAGTACTTTGAATGCCAGCAGTAAACATTTTACGATTATAACAAAATGCCCATGCAGCCCGATTTTGATCTAAAACTCGGTTTAGATATGGAACTGCTAATGGATAATCATTTTTCAATTTTTCCCAATAGAAATTAAACTTCTCAACATTTAAACTATTTCGTGCCTTATAAAATTCTTTGTGAAATTGAGCAAAATTTGATCCAAGAATACTCTTTAATTTCTTTTGAATATTTTGATCAATATGATAAATACAGATAAAATGTACTGTTGTATCAAAAACACCCTTAATAGCTCGGAACATTGCAGGATCTCCATCGGTATATATTGAATGTGGTACAACATTTCCTGTAGCAATTTTTACATTTTCATAAATCCATTTAAACGTAGCTTCAGTTTCATCATCAACCAAAGCACATGCAACCAATCTGGTATGATTATCACAGTCAACACAAACAATAATATTTAAAGTTAAATCATACCGATTTTTTTTATATGTTGAATCATTAACTACAATATCATGATAACGTAGCCAAAGCTGTTTTTGCATTGGAGACATCCAAAATATTGAAGTAAGCCTTCCATCTGTTTCATCAAAACGAGCTTGATAATACCATTCTGGATTTTTAGTTTGAAGTTCTCTCAGCAAATTAAGTAAATTTGTTGCATCATGTTGTAATACAGTAGGTGTTAAAGGTTTGCATTCTTGAATAGAATTATAAAGTGTTTTAGAATGTATATATTGTTGTGGATATTTTGCTTGCAGTAAATTTCGAATAATCTTAGCACCAATTGAAGGTCCTCCATATGTCATATAAAATTTTATATCAGCTTTTATTTCCTCAGAAAAACGTCGGTATTTAGGTGAAATTTTATGTATTAATGGATTCAATGAATGATTGTGATCATCGTTAAACGAAGTCAAATGAATTAGGGGAGATGTTTTAGGCCAATTCAAGCTAGCTTTCCAGGGACATCCAATTGAATTTGAAGTACGTTGGCGTTGCTTTGATATATCAGTTACTTTATTTGGCTTGTAATTACCTGAAAAAGTACATGAATAAGTCCTTCTAACAAGGCGTTGTGAACCATCCCCCAAGGTAACATAATCTCCCCGGCACTTTCTTATAGCAAAACCCTTTGATAGTGCATATTCATCAAAAAATTTATCAACATCTTCCCATGAATCAAATTCTTTACCAGTACTCAACACTTGTTCCTCATGTTCACTTTCAAATCCATTTTTATAATCTTCATAATGATCATTTTCAGAACTATTATCAAGGAAACCTAAAAAAAAAATAACAAACTTGATTAATAAATAACGCACCTAACCTAAACAAACTTTCCTTACCCTAACCCTAACCCTAACCCTAACCCTAACCCTAACCCTAACTCTAACTCTAACCCTAACCCTAACCCTAATGCTAACTTCTTACTATCCTAAACTATTCCAATACGAAAAAAAACTAAAAAAAAGACCCACCTATATCAGAGTCCTCGGTCATAATGAATAAATATCAAGGGATAGTAATATAAAATGAGTGAAAAAAGTTTATTATAGAAAATAAGTAAACGAAATAAATGAAATAAATGAATAAATGATACGAAACAAATGAGGTAGATAAAATAAATAAGGTAAAAAAAAGAGAATAAGCGTGAGAAAGAGGGTAAGAAAGAGCGTGAGAAAGAGCGTAAGCTAGAAAAGATAATCAGGTAGTATAAAAATAGTCTAAATGTACATCACATAATCATATCACGTGATTAATACGTAAATCTCAATTTTTAAAATTTTTTAAAAATTTTAAATTTTTTAAATTTTATGGTTATAATAACCAGTGGTTAGTCATAGTTATTACCTTAAGATTTACCTTCCAAAATGCTAAAACATCCATATCAAAATTTTCTGGTGGTTCACTAAGGTATGCTTCTAATTCATCAGTAAAAGATGTTTTTCGCTTTTTAAACATATGAGCTGCAAGAGAACTTTGATTATTATTATTTTGATTATCATTTTCATTATTTTTTGGTTTATATTTGGTTAACCATAATTCTTTAATTTGTTTTTTATATGTATCTATATACCCAACTTCAAATTCGTTATCTATATAGTACTGAAGTTTATGCCGTTGATCTATTACTATAAATAAATAATTTGATTAATAATTTTGGGTAAAAACAAACCAAATATATATATTTATTTACTAGTAGCAATCACATAGACAAGTCCGTCTGAGCTTGGATAATATTGTTGCAATTTATTTTTGGCATTATTAGCAGCATTTATAATATCATCTGATCTTGTGGCTTCTTCAAGAAANAAGTATATTTTTTACATACTTAAAATATACTTAAAATATATTATGAAATATATTATAAGAATATTTTAAGTATGTAAAAAATATATCTATAATATAAGTATATTTTAAGTATTTGGGCAAAAATTAAATATATTAGAAATATATTTTAAGATAATTTTAAATACATTTTAAGTATATTATAAGTATTTCGCAATTTTTAAATTAAATATATTTTAAGTATATTTTAAATATATTTTAAAAAGTTTTTAATTATATTTTAAATATACAGTCGCCACTAGATATAACGAACCTGCCGTTCCAAGCGTTTTGGTTCGGTATATGGTAAATTCGATATATGATATTCATATTATATACTGAACTGTTCGGTATATGAATTTTATCCAATTAAATTATAGCAGCATATACTGTAATATTTAAAGTTCGGATGATTACATGACTTACTATAACAGATAACACTATGTTTTATTTAAAATTTATGTGTTCATCGATTTTTTAAGTATTTACCAGCTATTCAAATGAAAATTTTATCTGATACTAGCAGAAATAATTTTTCTGGTAGTTCATTCTTTATATTACTAATTAAAGTCACGTGATAGTTCGGTATACTAAATATGTAACTGATATACTTGGGCTGGCTAAAATAAGTTCAGATGCGGTATATAGTAATTTATTATGTGATTTCGTTATATCCAGTGCAATTAATTATAAAAAAATCGGTTCTGTGAAACTTGGTTCAATACAACAAGTTTCGGTATAAACAGGTTCGTTATAACCAGTGGCGACTGTAAATACTTTTTATAGGGTATTATTTTATACTATATAATAATATAATAAATTATTAAATTAATGGCAATTTCTATTTGTACACGGGGTGTTTAAACACGGGTCATATTAGTAGATTAAAAACGGCATTCAAAACCTCCTTTAATGCCTTAAGTAAACTTGCAGAGCAGGTGAAAATACATATATTTATCTGTAATATAATAAGAATAAAAAGTAAAAGAGTATAATGTCGGTAGCATTCAATTTCAAATTAAAAAACAAAAAATTAGTCTATTAAAAATTATATTTATATGACCCGTGTGCAAACACCCCGTGTAAACTTAGAAATTTTCTAAATTAATTATAGGCATTTACTCAAGAATCATTTCGTAATGATTTAGTATATTGGATTATTGTTGATGATCAGCCATTTACCGTGGTTCAAAATATTTTTTTTCAAAAAATGATAATCTGACTTAATCCTGAAGCTATTATACCATCATCAGATACAATTCATAATGATATTATAAAAAATTTTGAAGATGAAAAGGAATTTCTTAAAAAAAAATTACAGGTTTATTATAAATTTTATATAAATTGTTTCTATTATTTGCAAATATTTTATTTAATATATTTATAAATTGAATTTGATAGGAATTGTCTGGAAAAGTTTCCTTAACTCTTGATGGATGGACATCAAAGAATCAAATTTCTTTCTTAGGAATAACAATACATTAGATTGCCAATGATTGGAAACTTAACAGTACAGTTCTTAATTTTTCTCACATAGAAGGTCCACATTCAGGAGAGAATATTGCATCTAAATTATTTGAAGTTTTAAGAGAATTTAAACTTTTATCAAAGGTAAATATTGGTAAATATTTTATTTAATAAATTTTTAAATTGTAATTAATTTTTTTTTAATATACAGATCTTAGGCATTAGTACTGATAATGCATCTAATATGGATAAAATGTTTAGTAAATTTGAATATATGTGTAATTATGAGAGTATTAAATTTGATGTTAAAAATTAACGGATGCGTTGTTTAGCGCACATCATCAATTTAGCTGTGCAAAATATACTAAAGGTATTAAAAGGGAGAAGCTCCTGAAAATGAAAATGAAATTTTACAAGAAAATATAATTTCTAGTAATTCCTTAAGAGTTGTTGCAAAAGTAAGAATATATTTTAACATTTAAATAATAAAAATTAATATATTTATTATTAAATTATTAATTAATTATATTAATTATATTTTTATTAATAGCTTCGAACATTAATAATAAAAATCTGAGCATCTCCTCAGAGGAAGGAACGTTTTAAGAGACAATGTATAGCTCTAAATATGAAACCATTAGAACTCATTCCTGATATTAGAACTAGATGTAATTCCACTTTCTATATGATAGAAAGAGCATTTTGTTTACGTGAGGTAAAATAATATTTATATATAATTTTACATATTTATTAACACTAATTTAAATTAATTTCATTAGCCATTATATAATTTGGCTGCAGCAGATAAAGAACTTTCTCTATATTTATTAAATAGTATAGAATGGAATAAACTAAAAAAAAGACAAAGTTTATTAGAAGTAAAAATATAATATTTATTAAATATTATTATTAAAATTTTAAAATTTTATAATATACTAAAATTTAATTATTATTTATTAATTTTTAATTATTTAATTAGTGTTTTCAAAAAGCAACAATTGAAATTAGTTCTGAAAAATCTCCTACACTTGGTCAAACAGTACCTATTTACAATTATTTAATAGATAATATTGAAGATTTTCTTGAAGAAGCCACAAGATCAGATGATATTATAAATGCTGCTAATAATGCCAAAAATAAATTGCAACAATATTATCCAAGCTCAGACGGACTTGTCTATGTGATTGCTACTAGTATTTAAATTTATATATTTGGTTTGTTTTTACCCAAAATTATTAATCAAATTATTTATTTATAGTAATAGATCTACGGCATAAACTTCAGTACTATATAGATAACGAATTTGAAGTTGGGTATATAGATACATATAAAAAACAAATTAAAGAATTATGGTTAACTGAATATAAACCAAAAAATAATGAAAATGATAATCAAAATAATAATAATCAAAGTTCTCTTGCAGCTTATATGTTTAAAAAGCGAAAAACATCTTTTACTAATGAATTAGAAGCATACCTTAGTGAACCACCAGAAAATTTTAATATGGATGTTTTAGCATTTTGGAAGGTAAATCTTAAATAAATGGTATTGTGTATAAGAAATTTTTATTAAAATGTTAAATTTCTTTTATTAGGTTCACGAAAATAAATTTCCAAATTTATTCAAAATGGCCCGGGATTTTTTAGCAATTCCTGGTATATATTTTATTTTTAATTGGTTAAATTTAATTATTTTATATTAATTTTGTAATTTCAAATAGGAACAAGTGTACCAGTTGAGAGAGTATTCTCTGGTGTAATGGATTTGATAACTCAAAGAAGATGTAGTTTAAATCCGGAAATGATTAGAAAATTGATGTACTTAAAAGCATGGTTAAAATATAAAAATACGAATTAATTACTTTATTATTTTTGTTCATTAAAAATATTTTATATACTTGTAGTATTTTTTTTTATATTGCTTAAAAACGTTATATTATTTTATATTTACTTATCGTTAAATAAAATTAAAATTATTAGAAATATTAAAAATTATTTATTTATTAAAATGAATCAAAATCGCTGATCTTTTTTTCAAAATTTTTTTTTATAGATAAAATATTGACGAAAAATAAAAAAATAAACAAAAATTAAACNAAAATCTTCAATATTATCTATTAAATAATTGTAAATAGGTACTGTTTGACCAAGTGTAGGAGATTTTTCAGAACTCATTTCAATTGTTGCTTTTTGAAAACACTAATTAAATAATTAAAAATTAATAAATAATAATTAAATTTTAGTATATTATAAAATTTTAAAATTTTAATAATAATATTTAATAAATATTATATTTTTACTTCTAATAAACTTTGTTTTTTTTTTAGTTTATTCCATTCTATACTATTTAATAAATATGGAGAAAGTTCTTTATCTGCTGCAGCCAAATTATATAATGGCTAATGAAATTAATTTAAATTAGTGTTAATAAATATGTAAAATTATATATAAATATTATTTTACCTCACGTAAATAAAATGCTCTTTCTATCATATAGAAAGTGGAATTTCATCTAGTTCTAATATCAGGAATGAGTTCTAATGGTTTCATATTTAGAGCTATACATTGTCTCTTAAAACGTTCCTTCCTCTGAGGAGATGCTCAGATTTTTTTTATTAATGTTCGAAGCTATTAATAAAAATATAATTAATATAATTAATTAATAATTTAATAATAAATATATTAATTTTTATTATTTAAATGTTAAAATATATTCTTACTTTTGCAACAACTCCTAAGGAATTACTAGAAATTATATTTTCTTGTAAAATTTCATTTTCATTTTCAGGAGCTTCTCCTTTTAATACCTTTAGTATATTTTGCGCAGCTAAATTGATGATGTGCGCTAAACAACGCACCCGTTGATTTTTAACATCAAATTTAATACTCTCATAATTACACATATATTCAAATTTACTAAACATTTTATCCATATTAGATGCATTATCAGTACTAATGCCTAAGATCTGTATATTAAAAAAAAATTAATTACAATTCAAAAATTTATTAAATAAAATATTTACCAATATTTACCTTTGATAAAAGTTTAAATTCTCTTAAAACTTCAAATAATTTAGATGCAATACTATTTTCTTCTGAATGTGGACCTTCTATGTGAGAAAAATCAAGAACTGTACTGTTAAGTTTCCAATCATTGGCAATCCAATGTATTGTTATTCCTAAGAAAGAAATTTGATTCTTTGATGTCCATCCATCAAGAGTTAAGAAAACTTTTCCAGACAATTCCTATAAAATTCAATTTATAAATATATTAAATAAAATATTTGCAAATAATAGAAACAATTTATATAAAATTTATAATAAACCTGTAATTTTTTTTTAAGAAATTCCTTTTCATCTTCAAAATTTTTTATAATATCATTATGAATTGTATCTGATGATGGTATAATAGCTTCAGGATTAAGCCGGATTATCATTTTTTGAAAAAAAGTATTTTGAACTACGGTAAATAGCTGATCATCAACAATAATCCAATATACTAAATCATTACGAAATGATTCTTGAGTAAATGCCTATAATTAATTTAATAATTTATTATATTATTATATAGTATAAAATAATAAATAAGATAAAATACATCATACCAAAGATTCTGAGATTTCAAGCTTATTTAATGCTTCAGTTATTTGATTGACCTCTAAATATAATTCATTATGTTTACTTTTAATATGTTTCCATAAACTAGATGTTGAGCCATCTTTAGGCACTTTATAACTTTTAACACAGTGATTACAATTATATTTATTATTTATTTCATTTAAAGTAAAATGGGTATAAACTAATGATTTACTATTCTTTTTAGTTTGTGAAGTATCTTCTGGTTCATTAATTTGAGGTGTTATATCTTGTGATATAATACTATCACTTTCAGAATCTATATCAGTAATATTACTCATCTTGAAATATTTAATAGATTTCTTATGAAATTTTTTGAAATTTTTTACCATATACCCATTGTTTATATATATAATTTTAATCAAAAAAATCTTCATATCAAAAAATTAATGATGCCAATGGTATCATCGTATCAAAATTAACCATTATATCGTGTCAAAAATCAACCATGGTATCGTGTCAAAGATTTATTTTATTTTATTTTATTTTTATAAAATATGAATTTAAATATAACAAAAATGATACGTAAATGTATTAATTCAATCAATCATGTCAAAAATAAATAACAGTATCGTGTCAAATGACGATATTAAAACAACTCTAGCATCGTCACCAAAAATGGTAGCCGGATTTATTTGTCAGTTACACATACTATAGAATACAATGTAGAAACAAGTTAAAATATTGCACATCCCGTATTGATTTAAAATTAAAAATTCTTTTTTATTTGTAAATAAAAAACCAATAATAAAGTTCGGTAACTTTTTTTAAAGTTCGATAAATTGTTTAATTCTGCAACTCTACGATACCAAAAGTTATCCATGTAACCGGTATGTGTAACTGTCTATCATTTTTCAGTGGCGATGCTAGGGCTAGGATCGTTATCAACGTATCAAAAATCTAACAATGGTACGTATCAAATGACAATTATATCAACGTACAACAATGATATCATCATGACTAATATAAATTGATTTTTTATCAGATTATTTGATGCCTATTTTATTCATTTTTCAAATTAAATTTTTTTATATGTTTAATTTTTATTTGCTTTAACTTTTTTTTGGAAATTTTCCCAGTTTCCGAATTCCGATGTTAACAAATTATTAATTCGAGTTGTTAGCAGAATACAGTTTTAACAATCATGTGTCCATGAAAAGCTGTAAAGAAACAAAGACTAAAAGAAGTAATGAATTAAATTAGCAAAGGAAAAGCGAAAAAAAAAACAAAAAAAAAATCCCGAAAACACGTTTCCATGAAGAGCAGTAAAGAACAGACCTAAAAAGGGAGAGAAGATGTTAGAAATTTGAGAAAGGAACAAAGAAAAAAACGAAGAATGAAATTAATACCTGATTTCTTGTGAAAAGCTGCAAAAAACTGGAAACTAAAGAAAAGAAAGACGAAATTAGAAAAGGAAACGGAGAAAGAAACCAAAAAAAGAAAAAAAGTTCTAAACATATACCTGAACTGCAAAATTAAAGAAAAAGACGAATTAGAAACAAATATTAAAATATTATTGGAAATAAGTCACGGCTTTGTACTTACGAAGCCATTGATGTCTTATTTGATGACCTACTCTCTGATGGATGTAAAGCCACTCTTCTTAATTACAAAATCATGCACTCAACAACTGTAAACGTTAAAGAACACAAAATTCCACATAGTTCCGTGAAAAGCCAAAAAGAACAAAGATCTAAACGAAGAGAGGGACGAATTTAGAAGAGGAAAATGAAACGAAGCAAGAATAATAATAAAAAAAAAATATTCTACCTTCCCGTGGAGTACCGCAAAGAACTGAAAACCTAAAAGAAGGAAGAAGGAGAACGGAATTAACAAAGGAAACAAAAAAAACGAAAGAATGAAAAAAAAAAGAAATATTTCAATCACCTGCCTTTTCACGAAGAACAAGAACCAAAAACCTAAAAGGAAGAAGGAGAACGGAATTAACAAAGGAAACAAAAAAAAGAACCAAAAACGAAAAAAGAAACACACCGTAAAGAACAAGAACCGAAAACCTAAAAAAAGGAAGAAGGAGAACAGAATTAACAAAGGAAACAAAAAAAAATGAAAGAACGAAAGAACGAAAAAAAAAAAACAAAAACATTTCAATCACGTGCCTTTTCACGAAGAACAAGAACCGAAAACCTAAAATAAGGAAAAAGGAGAACAGAATTAGCAAAAGAAATATCTTATACACATCTAGATGTGTATAAGAGACAGGTATCATCATATCAAAATTAACCATTATATCGTGTCAAAAATCAACCATGGTATCGTGTCAAAGATTTATTTTATTTTATTTTATTTTTATNTATTTCAATCACCTGCCTTTTCACGAAGAACAAGAACTGAAAACCTAAAATAAGGAAAAAGGAGAACAGAATTAGCAAAAGAAATAAAAAAATGAAAAAACGAAAAAAAGAAATAAAAAAATTTCAATCACCTGCCTTTTCACGAAGAACAAGAACTGAAAACCTAAAATAAGGAAGAAGGAGAACGGAATTAGCAAAAGAAATAAAAAAAATGAAAGAACGAAAAAAAAAGAAATATTTCAATCACCTGCCTTTTCACGAAAAATAAGAACCGAAAACCTAAAATAAAGAAGAAGGAGAACAGAATTAGCAAAAGAAATAAAAAAAAATGAAAAAATGAAAAAAAGAAACAAAAAAATTTCAATCACCTGCCTTTTCACGAAGAACAAGAACCGAAAACCTAAAATAAGGAAGAAGGAGTAGCAAAAGAAATAAAAAAAAAATGAAAGAACGAAAAAAAAAGAAATATTTACCTGTCTTTTCATGAAGAACAAGAACCAAAAACCTAAAATAAAAAAGAAGGAAAATGGAATTAGCAAAAGAAATATAAAAAAAAACAAAAGAACGAAAAAAAAGAAATATTTCAATCACCTGCCTTTTCACGAAGAACAAGAGCTGAAAACCTAAAATAAGGAAAGAAAGCGAACGGAATTAGCAAAGGAAATAAAAAAAAATAACCGAAAAACAAAAAAAAAGCACCTTTCTGTGAAAAATGCAAAGAACCAGAACTTAAAAAGAGAAAGAAGACAAACGAAATTAGTAAAGAAAGCCAAAAAAAAATCAAAACAAAAAAAATCAACTGTGAAGAGCTGAAGAGCCAAAAACCTAAAGGACCTTTCTGTGAAGAACTAAGTCTCTATAAGAAAATTAGCAGAGGGAGGTTACTAAAAAAAAGATTATCTTTAGATCATCTAATTGATATTGGACCAAACCGATGATATCGGTTCAGCTCGGATTAAAAATTCGGTTCTGGTTCTGGTTCGGGTCTAAATCAGAAAACCGAACTGGAATCGGATGGGATTTTCGGTTCAAATCCGGTTCTTTACTAAAACTGCACTGAACCGACCCGTTCGGAGCTTTAATTACTAGTCATTGCTATTTATCATCTCGTTTGGACATTGTTCCAGTTGGTTCGATTCTAACAAACAACAAAATAAAATAGAAAATCGCAGATGTTTGTTAGAAATAAGAAAATCATTTCGAAGTTATTACTTTCAAAATGTTTGACATGAAATCTTAGGATCTAAAAAATAAAGTAAAATGAACATTAGTAGAACGTTCGTTAAAGAAGAATAAAAAAAAAATTATAAAGAATTTTGAAGATATACCTTCAAATTCTTTCGTCCAGGAGCCAGAGAAAAAAACCTTACAGAAAAAAACAACTGAAACGTTAGTAAACATTTCACAAATTAAAAAACATGAAAGAATTTTGAAGGAATTTTACCTTTGAAATTCTGTCCAGAAGCTGTAAACCTGCAAAAAGTAAAAAGAAAAGACAAACGAAATGTTAGTAAATGTTTCGTTAAACATTAAAAAAAATTAATTTCGAAGGTAAATACCTTCGAAATCCTGAAAAAATCTCCAAGTCTGATTCGTCTAACAGGGCGGACATGCATTATATCACAATGTCGATCACTTGCCGATCATGATATAAGTGATATCACGTTAAATTTGAAGCTTTATTCCAAGCAATAAATGTTCTGACAATTTATGTTAAATTATTTTATTTAATAGTTTCATTTATCAATAAATTAATATAAAAGTATTGTAGCAAAATAAGGTGTGTTTCAAAAGTTAGATTTTATGTCAAATTTTCAATAATTAATATATATGCTATATATATGCTGATCATCTGCTAACGTGACTTTGAAGCTTCGGGCAAAGCCACAGATCTTTGGGTGAAACTTGAAACTTTTACAGTATATTATTTAGGTATTCAAGAATCAATGGCTAAAATAAACCTGGATAATTTTTGATAACCCAAAAGTTATCATTAAATAAATGTTTACAATTATTGTAAAATTAATATATGTCTGATATTTGACAAATTCTTTATGAATTATTTTAAGAACTAATTTATTAACAATAAATAAAATAAAGTAAATAAAATCGAAATTTTTTACATTATTATGTAGAATTTGTGAAAAAACTAATTTAATGGTATTTTTTTATGTGATAATATTGGACAAGTGATCAGTAAAATGATCAGCAATTTCATGATAATATGGGGATGTCCGCCCTGTTAGTTCGTCTAAAGAAGTCCAGCGTCCCTATATAAAGAAGAAAGAACGTTAGAAACGTTCTTTGAAAAAAAAATAAATTTTAAAGTTTTGCAACGAGAGTTGCGAAACTCACCATTTACCCGTTTCGGGAACCTTGGAATACCGAAACCTACAATAAAAAAGAAAAATGAAACGTTAGCTAACGTTTCATTTAAATAAAAACAAAAAAAAACAGAATTTCGAAGGTTATCTTAGAAATTCTGTTCAGGAGCGTCCAGAGAGCCGTGTTCCTACAAAATACAAAAATGAACATTAGAAAATGCTTTGTTAAGTATAATTATTAAAAAAAATTTTTTTCAAAGGTTTCACCTTCGATATGGGAGACCGAACTCATTTTTGGCTTCCTTTACCTAAAAAAAATAAAATACGAACGTTAGTTAACGTTCGTTTAAATAAAAAAGAAAAAAAATTTTCGAAGGTTTTACCTTCGATATGGGAGTCCGGAATTCGGTTTTGGATTCCCTTGCCTAAAAAAAAAAGGAAATACGAACATTAGTTATGTTCGTCAATAAATTAAATAAAAAAAAATTTTTTTTTACAAAGATTTTACCTTTGTATGGAAAAACCTTTATATGGGAGTCCAAGTTTTCAGCTTCCTTTATCTAAAAAAAAAGGAAATATGAACGTTAGTTACGTTCGTTAATAAATAAAAAAGAAAAAAAAATTTCGAAGGTTTTACCTTCGATA